AAAAAAAAAAAAAAAAAAAAAAAAAAAAAAAAAAAAAAAAAAAAAAAAAAAAAAAAAAAAAACAGAGTTTGGACCTATACTGTTTTTTACAACAAAACAATCTTAAAAACAACAAATTTAAAACAAAAAAACATCTATATGCACACCTAAACTTTGTTAATTTGAAGAATAAACAACAATGGCAAGACTATCAACCAAACTGTTAAGATCTAAGAATTGAGATGATAAAGTAAAAGAACCTCTTCGTGATCGTTAACAGATGGAGAGTTTCGGTGAGACGGGAGACCCCTCGCTGCTTCGGTATTCACCGCACCAAGCGTCCTGAACCTGAGCTGCAAACTGCAAATTCCAGAGAACATCTTCAATGGAAGGTCTTGTGATTGGATCCTTGAGCAGACACCTGACACAAACTTCCATGATTGTCTTCAACGATTGGTCTATGCATTCATTTTGAACGCCGGGATCGACTATGCTCTTTCGAGCGACACTGTCTGATGAAATGGCTTCTTGTATCTGTATGCATCAAAGAACATCATAACGAGAACATATGAACCTCGAAATTTCATTGTAACAGCCCAAGCCTACCGCTAGTAGATATTGTCCGCTTTGGCCCGTTACGTATCGTCGTTAGCCTCACGGTTTTAAAACACGTCTGCTAAGGAGAGGTTTCCACACCCTTATAAGGAATGCTTCGTTCCCTTCTCCAACCAATATGAGATCTCACAATCCACCTCCTCGGGAGCCTAGCGTCCTTGCTAGCACACCGTCCGGTGCCAGTCTCTGATACTATATCTAACAGTCCAAACATACTGCTAGCAAATATTGCCTGCTTTGGACCGTTACGTATCGTCGTCAGCCTTACAGTTTTAAAATGCGTTTGCTAGGGAGAGGTTTCCACACCCTTATAAGAAATGCTTTGTTCCCCTCTCCAACCAATATAGGATCTCACAATCCACTCCCTTGGGGGCCCAACGTCCTCGTTAGCACACCGTTCGGTGCTTGGCTTGGATACCATTTGTAACAGCCCAAACCTACCTCTAGTAAATATTGTCTGCTTTGGTCCGTTGTGTATCGCCGTCAACCTCACGGTTTTAAAACGCGTCTACTAGGGAAAAGTTTTCACACCCTTATAAGGAATACTTCGTTCCTCTCTCCAACCAATGTGGGATCTCACAATCTACACCCTTGGGGCCCAGCATTCTCGCTAGTACACCATTCAGTGCCTGACTTTGATACCATTTGTAACCGCCCAAACCCACCTCTAGTAGATATTGTCTACTTTGACCCGTTACACATAGCCGTCAGCCTCACGATTTTAAAATGCATCTACTAGGGAGAGGTTTCCACACCCTTACAAGGAATGCTTCGTTTCCCTCTAACCAATGTAGAATCTCACATTCATAGAGCGACACACACGCACATGCACATACACAAAAAGCAACGTATTCTCTATTACCTTCTCTCTTAACACATTAATTTCGCCTTTCGATTTGAAGGCTCGTCCACGGATGATTTCTAATAATATTACTCCAAAGTCATAGATGTCAGCTTGAGCTTCTTGATTCATCCTGTGAAGTAACAAAAGAGAGAGTCAACTTCATAGTAGACAAGAGGATAGAAGAGCTGTTTTTGTTGGATAATTCATGTCATGTCCCGCTGTACTATGCTAGAGTGCCATCAACCTTTCATTGTCACTGTGCTCTTTCGATCCACCGGAAGATTTTCCCCGACCAACCTGAGAAGTTAACCAGGTCGTTACGAACTAGAACGAACAAAACAAGCCAAGGAGGTGAATAGACTGCCCAACAGAAAAAAAATACGTCTTCGTTGTACCTCGGCCATGCTCTCAGCCATTAGAGGAAGGTTGTAGCTGCTAACTTTTGCAACAAGGTTTTGATCCAGTAATACATCAGTTATTTTAATTTTATTTGAATATACACCAGCAACTGTATGCAAAAACTGGAGGCCTTTCGCTATTCCGACCGCTGCTGCTATACGTTGTGTCCAAGTAAGCGATCGTCGCAAATTCCTTTCTGCAATGCATACATTAGCACTAAGTTTGAATAGTGAAAATGCAGAAATAATGAGAAGCAAACTATTAATGTTCATAAAGTACCAGATATCCAGCTTTTAAGAGTGCCATTAGGCACGTATTCGAAGACGAGAAATATTCTGCTGACACTTGAATCGTCCAAATATAACTCAAAGCAGTGTCCGAGAGCGCTAACCAAATGACGGTGTCTGAGTTTCGAGATAAGGTCGATATGATGCGTGAAGTTTTGGGTGCTATATCTTCTTTTCATTTTAAGGCATCTAATGGCAACAAAAGAACCATCCTTCAGCTGACCTCGGTATATCTGATAACGAAAAAGGAAGGACAAAGTCTTTGATGAACAGTTTTCTTTACTAATCAGAGTGACAATGCAAGATATCAAGTGTACAAAAAGCACTTCATCCACAACAAAGTTTTCACACCAACATAAAGGAATATATGATTTAGAACTGTTTGTTTGAAATTGAAACTATGGAAACTTTCTGTGTGAGATCCAACATCGGTTGGGGTGGAGAACGAAGCATTCTTTATAAGGGTGTGGAAACCTCTCCCTAGAAGACGCGTTCTAAAAGCCTTGAGGGGAAGCTTGAAAGGGAAATTCCCAAGAGAACAATATCTGCTAGCGGTGGGCTTGGGCCGTTACAAATGGTACCAGAGCTAGATACCTGCCGATGTGCCAACAAGGAGTTTGAACCCCTAAGGGGTGGACACAAGGCAGTGTGCCAACAAGGACGCTGGGCTCCGAAGGGGAGTGGATTGTGGGTCTCACATCAATTGGAGAAGAGAACGAATGCTAATGAGGGCGCTGAGCCTCAAAGGGGGGTAGATTGTGAGATCTCACATTGGTTTGGGAGGAGAACGACGCTTTCTTTATAAGGGCGTGGAAACCTCTCCCTAGAAGACGCGTTTTAAAAACCTTGAGGGGAAGCTTGAAAGAGAGAGAGCCCAAAGAAGACAATATCTGTCTGCGATGGGCTTGAGTCGTTACAGATGGTATCAAAGTTAGACACCAGGCGATGTACCAGCGTGGAGGCTGAACCTTGAAGGGGGGTGAACAGGAGGTGGTGTGCCAGCAAGAATGCTTGGCCCTCGAAGGAGTAGATTGGGGGATCCCACATCGATTGGAGAAGGGAACGAGTGTCAACGAGGACGCTGGCCCCAAAAGAGGATGGATTGTGAGATCCCATTATTCAAAATGAAAGAGTTGGGTATCATAAACAAGATTTTGTTATACCTGTCCTTGAGAACCTTCACCCATGAAAGCAGAAGAGTCAAAGTTATTAGTAGCTTCCTCAATCTCTTCATAAGAGAGCACTCTATAAGTTGAAAGGCCAAGTGGAGCAAACTTCATTGCCTGAGATATATACCCTGGAAGTGAGGCAAGAAAGAGCAAATTTGGAGTCAAACTTTTGTAAGCATTAAAAAACTCAAATCAGATAGCTTCTTTCCACACACGAACTTGTGGAGGCACGTGCAGGTAGAGAGAACGTCGCTCTCAAGAACTAGTACACCCTGTTCTTGAAATCCGAACGCAGCTAAACCAAAGGTAGATAAGAAAAAATGATCTTACTTGCATCAGAGAACAGCTTTGATGTGTATTCAGCAGAAGGATTCTCTATTATTAAAGTCGTTCGAGGTTTTTTCGTCGTATTCTTCTCATTTTTCCTTCTTACTACAAAGAAACCAATGCCAAGTAACACAATCACTCCAACGACACCGCCAACGATACTCAGGGCAAGAACAGCCTTACGAGATCGGTCTTTCTTCTTTCCCTCAGCTACAATGCCCACAGCTAACGCTTCGTTTAGACAAAACGAAACAGGATGCTGCTGTTGTTCTTCAGTGACAAGACAATTCCTAGCATACAAGACAACCCTGTTCTTATCATCTGATAGCAGACACTTTGGCAAGCTTCCAGTCAAAAGATTTGAGGATAAATCCACAAATTTAAGTTCATCATTGCAAGAAATATTATCAAAAACCATTCCTGTGAGCTTGTTCCTTGATATATTGAGATACGAAAGAGACTGTAGCGAAAACAATACCGGTGGCAACGGCCCAACCAACGAATTCAAAGAGACGTCGAGATATTGAAGCTGGTAAAACGAGTTAACTTCAGCAGGGATACTCGATCTGAACTTGTTTCTACTCAGTTTAAGGGTAACCAGCTTATTTCCAAGCTGAGGGAATTGAGGTCCAAAGCCATTGTCTTCCAATTCGAGCACTTGAAGGTTCGTCAAAGTGCTAAGATCAGGCAACTCCCCATAAAAATGGTTATGTGAAAGTGAAAGAACTCTAAGATTTTCCAGCTCACTCAGTGAATTGGGCAAAGATCCATTTAGTACATTGTGTTTCAAGCTCAAAACAGTAAGTAGCGGAAGCGCACGGAACCATTCAGGAAGCTGGCCTGCAAGCATGTTACCATCGAGTATAAGCGTCCGAAGGCCTGATAGCAACGATATCTCTTGAGGGATGCCACCATATAGGAAGTTTGAGCTCATGTTTAGTATTTCCAGAGATGATAAATGAGCTATCCTACCAGGAATTGAACCCCATAAACCAAGAGAAACTAATGTAAGGACTTTCAAATCTGGAAGCTTAACAAGGGTATTAACGAACGTGTTCATCGAAAAGTTACGAGGTAATAGAACAGCTCCTTTCTTGCCAATTATATGCAACTGGGTCATGTTTCCTTCATAGCATACAACAGTCACAGAAGAATCTGGTTCCAAGTTGCAAAAATCTGTGTTGTTATTCCAGGTACTTAACACAGCTGGGAAGTTCAGGAGTTGCTGTATTCTTAGAAGCGTCCGAGTCTGCGACGATTGCTGTGAAAGACCGATCCTAACTAAAAGAACGACGATAACTAGAAGCACAGAATTATGAACTACTTGAGCCATTGTTCCTATGAACAGAACCAGGTGATGAATGACAGTGAACTAGATCTCAGAAGCCAGTAAATTCGAGCAGCTTGTACCGTATCGACACCGCGACGTTGCTTACAACTACCCTGAAGCAGAATATGATAACAAGCAGAGTTAACATTCAATTAGAAACAAGAACTCCTTAACTTGACAAGCCAAATGTGAATATCAGAGACTCCTCATGACAACAAACAATCTTTTAAACTGAAAAAAGAAAGATCAAGCACAGCCAGGAGTTATAAGTTCATCTACACTCAAGAACTTCATAGAAAATGAAGAACAAACAACTATATGAAGTTATTCACCACAAAACTCCAAGATCCTCAACAAACAAAGCCACAGTTCTATAACCAACAATGTTCAAACCCAGCAGAGATGTGAGATCCCACATCGGTTGGGGAGGAGAACGAAACACTCTTTATAAGGGTGTTTACGTGTTGGAAAGCCAAAGAGGAATATCTGCGAGCGGTGGGCTGAGCGGATGATTAAAAAAAACCCAGAAAGCTCATTTGAATCCAAAACACCACAGGTCTTGCAGATAACCCATTTGGGCAAAACAAAAGGAATTTGAGCCATACATTCATAAAACACTCAAGAAGAAGCTCCTATGACACAATTTACAGAAGAACCCGTTCAAATAAGTCGGTTTCTATCATAATACATGCCAGGACAAATCAGTGACAGTTTCAGCAAAATACCTCAAAACCCAGATGCCAAAAAGAACAACACAGACAGTGAAATCACAGAAACAGACACACCACTGATGTTCTTCCACATTCAAGAAATTTCACGACAAATTTCATCTTACCCACTTCAAATTTCCGGTTAATCAAGATGATAACGAATGAACCTTATGATAATCATCCATGAGATAGTCGGAAAGACAAAAGGCGAGCTCTGACTGGGATGAAAAAGCAAAAGGAGGCGAAAGATTCCTGCAGAGAAAAAGAAAGAGTACGTCGTCTTTATTCCCTGTATGCGACATAATCGAACTTGGAGAGATATTAAATTCAGAAGAAATAGGATCGGAATGGTATTAGAACTGGAGGTGGGTCGATGATTTTTGGCACAGAGTGCAATGTGAGGCCTCGCTTTCGTTGATGGGTGCGATGAAACTTTAGAATTCTGTGGTTTTTGTCAGATTTTGGAATGGAGGAATGTGGGTGGTCCCTTTGCTTCCAAATCTGTTGCTTTTGCCGCCTTTCTTTTGCTCCCATTGCCATTTTCATTGCACTGTTGCTACCCATTTTTACAAAACGTCTATATTTACAATCGAATCCAAGCTTCAATGTTCTTACAATAAAGTATGCCCAAATTTCTCATAATTATAGATTTAAATATGTCGGTGACAGATGAAATTACATATATTGTCCGACCAAAGGTGTATGAAAATAGTATAAAGTTTTTATTTTTATAATTATTTTTTATATAATTAGTGGAAGAAAAGTTGGATGAACAGACCTAATGAAATGAGACATTCCACCAGCTTTATGTTATTCATTTTAAACAATTGGAACTCATAACCATTCCACAAGATTTAAACAATTTTTAAGTTTTTTTTTTTTTAATAAAGCTTTGAAAATTTAATTTTAATTTTTTTTTAAAAGTCTCGCTTTCGAGCAAATAGTTCTTGATTTGAAGTCTATTAATGATGCTCTCGCTCGATCTCTATGTCAAATGAAAAAAAAAATTGATGAGAGTTTATGTAACAACCATTTTCGGACTTTTCCCCTGTCCAACCGAAGTGGGATCTCGCAATCCACCCTCTTTGGGGCGTAGTGTCCTCGTTGGTACTCGTTTACCTCTCCAGTCAATGTGGGATCTCACAATTCACCCTCATTTCAAGGCTTAGCGTCTTTGCTAGCATTCGTTCCTCTCTTCAATTATTGTGGGATCTCACAATCCATCCCCCTTCGGGACCAAAAGTCCTCGCCGAATCACTACCCAGTGTCCACCCCACTTCGAGGCTTATCGTCCTCGCTAGCACAGTACTAACTGAGATTGTCCTCTTCGGCTTTCCCTTTCGAGATACCCCTCAAGGTTTTTAAAACGCGTATGCTAAGGAGAGGTTTACACACCCTTACAAAGAATACTTAGCTCCCCTCTCCAACCAATGTGGAATCTCACAATCCACCCCTGACACTCGTTCCCATCTCCAGCCGATGTAGGATCTCAAATGCTGAGCTTTCGTCTTTTGTAACACTCATATTAATGGTTTTAGGCATCTTTTTTAAGTTTGTAAGAACGACTTCACCTTTTTGTATTCTTAAATAGATAACGGTATTTAATGTTCTTGATAACCAGCCTCACACTGTATATTAAGTTTATGATACTGATTTAATCCATAGGGTTGATTTTTTCCTCACTTTTACGCTCAAATGTCAAAATTCTCGGGAGAGATATTAATGACATCTACGAAAAAAAAGTGTCATAGAAGAGCTCGTTGGAATATTAATGTTGTTTTAGGAGGACCCGACTAAAGAAAAGACCTATGCCCTACATGTGTAATGAGAGGGACCTTTAGACCTAGTTGAAGGTATGAAAAGACATAAATGCCCCTTTGTTGAGCATGGCACATGGTTGATACATAGGGGTACTTTTGGAAACTAGTGGAGCTAGGTCATGTGCCAAAGCTCAAAATGTCCCTCCATGCAACCCACTTCCAAGTTGTCCAAATCTCTTTGTTTTGTGGAGGAGAGTTGGCTTTGAATTTAGACCTAAAAGTATTGATATTATAGCTCTAGACCTAAAGTGGTAATTTACTTTAATGAAGCATCAAACTCTTTGGCTTAATTATTTTTTAATCCTTTTTAGGAGTATTATAATTAATTCAAATTTGAAATAATATAAGGATGATTACGTTATTTAAATTTATTAGAATATATTAATATTGTCCATCATTGTTAGCTCGAGCATTGTCCACCATGATCGGTATCAGTTAGGAGAACATTTCATGTGGTTTCGCTTTAGTCGGTGTTGGGGTTCGGTTGTTGACTACTATAGATGACTCAGGAAAGGCGTAGTTGTTAGTAAGGATCTTTTCTCTCTCGATTTTTGGGTTGGATCGAATCAAATAGTTTCCTATTATTTTTCTCGATGGTCGTGTGATTCAAGGTGTTTGACATTGTTGCTTGCCATCGGAAGGGGCTTCATCGTCGCAAATCCATCACTGGAGCTCTATTGTTGTCGATCTATGCATTCGAGAAAGATGACGCCCAAACCCATAGGTTAATAACCCTACCCAAAGTTCAAGCCCTCCTACACACTTAGTAGTAGCTCAAAGCCCATACGTGAACCAAGTGACACAGTTCCACACCTTCAGCGTGGTCGACTCGTCCAGTCATGCCCTTCATGTATGTAACTTCGCTCGGCTCGTTGCAATCGTCCACCAATTTAAGATGAATCGAAATTGACCTAAAAAAATTATGCTTGCTCACTTTCATGCAGATTTCAATCGTCCATCAATTTTTTTTCTGACATCTTTTCACATAAAAGCAATGGATGTCATAGTTTGAATTTAATTTCCATAGTTGAAGCAGTTTGAAAACCAATCATAAAAAGTACGTAGTAGTGTTTCATAGCCGATCAACAAAAACCTTGTCACGTAAAAAAATAATAGGTAATATTAAATGTTGTCTGATGTCTTGTTATTGTCTATTATTTAGATGCAATGTTGAAAATCAATAGACTTATTCATGTTTATATGAATACTAGATTATGTCACCACGTTGAAGAGTTGTGGCACGATGAGGCGAACTATATGGATGAGGAAATATGAAAGTGCATGAACCCCTTAGTTGGTAGTTCAAGTACACTAACTAGTGACACCGTCTGCAACACAAGCCGAGCCTATGATTATGGCCCTAATGTTGTAAATGTTTCAAACATTGGATGGCACGATGAAGCCAACTATAGGGATGGGGAAATATGAGAGTGCATGAATCCCTTTAGGATCATTTGGTAGTTCAAGTACACTAACCAGTGATATCGTCTGCAACACGAGTCGAGTCTATGATTATGGCCCTAGTGTTGTAAATGTCTCAGACATTGGAACAGTCGACTTTACTCAAACTTCATAATCGTTACGGTTTCATTCCATTTGGACAAATTGAAAAATACCATGATCGAACTCTTTTAAAGGAAAATGGTAATGAAAAGTACAAAAATTGATGAAGATTGAACATGAGAACCGATAGATTTTGAAGGAACACAATAAACAATAAGACAACCTCAACAAATCCAAAAAGAACACAACAAAATATAGGATGGAAGGTAAGAACTTTTGTGAAAATTAAGGAACACAAGAGAATGAACATCTCAAATGAACACAATAAAAAAACATATCACAACTTTGTAACCATTTTTATATACAAGTTTAGCTTTTGGAGACACACTAAAGTCAAAAAGGAGGCTTAATTAAGTGTCAATAATCTGAGGTCCTAAGTATTCTATTCCATCCATGTGGGAGTTTTCTGGTACCTCAATCTCTTCTAACCATCCATATCCCTCACCCTCTTCTTCTGTCAGTGCCACCTCACTATCTGCATGTCAGAACATTACCATAAGAACAGTGCAACATAAGAACAAAGCTTGTGAATCCATTTCAAAACAAAGCTATTGAAGCGGATGCTTACTTGGAAACGAGGCATAGGGATGCTCCTTATAATATGAACAATCTCGACCGTCCTCCATGGAATAAGGAGGTCCGATCACATCGAGCACCGCACATGGCGTTACAGCAGTGAACGAGTGGATGTTGCCTCCTGTTGTTGGGTACAAAACAGAGGTACTGCAGGGCGAGGTGAAGACAGCGTCGGCCTTCAGCTTTGCTAATCTTTCTGCAAAGCAAAACAGTCCATCAGCACTTTCGGGTTGATTTTCACGAGAGATTCATGTTTATAATAAGAAAGTTTCGAGGCGCTCACTTTGACGAGGTTGGGCAGGATCGTCGGTGTTCGTTGGATCGACCCAATCATATGATTTGATGTGCATTTTCCCCAACAGAAGTTTACTGAAAACAGTCATTCCTGGATGGTTGTGTAAAGGGATTACACCAGTTGCTGGGAGGAAGAAGATGCATAACTGCATAAAAGCAGGGGAAATGGCATCAGAAATTCGAACAAAGCAAAAACAGTATGATCTCGACTAATAAGTAAGGAGTCGGTTGTTAGCGTGAGCGGACAAGGAATAATGACGAACAACCCTACATTAGCCCTCGGCCAACCCTATAAGGTAAAGCTAAAGGTAGCTTGTCTCTCCCTAGGGGTGAGAACAAAGTGGAAACGGTCTCGGAAAGGGTTCGGTTGTTCACCATTCCCTTACATGACCAAGTGGTGGCGCTGCTAACAAATTGTTAGTCATTTTCGAGAATAAGGTGAAGCTAAAGGTAGCTTGTCTCCCCCAAGAGGTGAGAACTATTGAGAACAAAGTGGAAATGGTCTTAACAAGGGGTCGGTTGTTTGTCATTCCCTTACACGACCGAGTGGTGGCGCTGCTAACAAATGACTAGTCTTTTCCGAGAATAAGGTGGAGCTAAAGGTAACTTCGTTGAGAACAAAGCGGAAATGGTCCTAACAAGGGTTCGGTTGTTCGTGAGAGCTGGGCGTATAATAACAACACGTGATTTAAACGAAAAGCGGCCCAAAACTAGTGAAGGCACTACATTAAGCTTACCGAGAAATTATCACACTTGTATATGGTAGTGCAAGTTACTCTAGGGGATGATCCTTTGACTGCAACATTGGGATTGAAAAACTGCAAATTACTACTAAGTCCAACGTCTTCTGCCTTCATATCATCTGCAGCATCCAAAAACAAAGAAATTATAATTATCAAAGGATGCTCATGTGCCCCCATCGCGACGTAAAAGAACACTATACTATTCAAGCCCACCGCTAGCAAATATTGACCACTTTGACCCATTACGTATTGTCATCGGCCTCACAGTTTTAAAACGCGTCTATTAGGAAGAGGTTTCTACACCCTTATAAAAAAGGCTTCGTTCCCCCCTCTCCGATCGATGTGGGATCTCACAGAAGAAGTCGTTTATATCTTCCTCTCTTGGTGGGTCTAAGTCTAAATATAAAGAATCCTAAGAGCATAGGCTGACAAGAACATAAAAGCATGATTTGATATGACAAATCACTAAAGGGAAGTCGTTTCTATTAGGTATCGTTGTTAGCATCACAATGAGGGGTTTCCACGCCCTTATAAGAAATGTTCA